AGACAAGTTTGTGTGTGTGTGTGTGTGTGTGTGTGTGTGTGTGTGTGTGTGTGTGAAGAGTTTTCTAATTAATTTATTGGAAAAAGCCTGTTTTTCAGTCATTAAATATGTTTACGATTATTTATCTGCTGTACCTGTGTTACTTAATTACCACTTTTCACAGATGTCTGTTTTCCCGATCAGTATAGTTGCACAATAATAATTTGACACAGATGTCTTAAATATGTAGTGGCTATAAACCTGTTTTACAAAGTTGTCACACAGTTTATTTTCAAACTTCAACAACAATTTTCAAGTAAAACAGGTTTTTTTTTTTTTTTTTTTTTTTTTTAATCAAGGAAAGTAAAGGAAATTAGGGTTGGCTAGTGTGCTGTTTTAATGACCCTTTAGCATTGCTAAGTGACGCTCGAGTCAGATAAAAGTTGTGTAGATGTAGGACTTCTAAAATATCCCAAGCCATGACATTGTCACTAATGTTCTGATTTTTAATTTGAATTTTAAGATTGTTAAATATTTATCTATTTGTACAGATACAGTTATGTTACAGAAACTTTAGTTATGAAACTACATGTGATAAATATGACTATATACACATACTTAATGAAATGCTTAGTTGATTCAAAAAATGAGACAAATTAGCTGTACCTTCTATGCCAGGTAATGACCAGCACAGTTACTTGGTTATTCCAGCATTAACAACTTAGTTAATTCTGCTGATTGGGGTTTGTATTCAGTTGGGCCCGGTGGCACACGTCTGTGATCTCAGCATTTGGGAAATAGAGGTAAGCTGATTAAGGGTTCAAGGTCTTCCTTAGCTACATAGTAAGTTCCAGTCCAGCCTGAGCTACATCTGAGTTTGTCAAAATCTGGCACTGACTTAATGTGTGAACTTTTATACTAGTAATTTATTTCGATAAAGATAGACAGTTGTTTATTTTAAATGTATCCACGGAAATTTTCCAGATGTGTTCAGAGTGGTAGAGAAGCAGCCAAATTGACCTAACTTGTTAAACAGTATGCCATTTAATTAATGTTAATATTCACTTGAACCCTTGAGTAGTATCTTAAGTTTAAAAGAGGACCCAGGGAAGAACAAATGTTTCAAATATGACACAGTAATAAGTTGCATCACCAAGAGATTATTTTATCAGAAGAAAAGTTTAAAAAACCAATTAATTTTATAACAGAAAACATAAAGCAGAAAAGTGTATCTCCTTAATACTGGCTATTTCTAGCTAGCAGGAACATAATAACTTGCTACTCAAGTTAGAAAAAAATGCCAGCAAACTCTTACCATACTCATACCAGAGAAACAAGCCTTGCGCAAAGCCACCAAAATTCATAATGGTGGTTTAAAATGTGTATTGTACTAGGGTAGCTCTTTTGTCTCAGACATAGGAATTTTTATTTTTAAATAAATTGCTTGATACAAAATAAACTGGAAAATGTTAAAGCTAGATCTTGAACTTCATTTCTTTTCAGTTTAAAAAGCATTTTTTTTGCTTTTGAGTTGCATGGCGGGGTAGGAGAGGCTATCCATTTTTTACTTTGGCTGTTTCTATGGTCTCTATCTCAAATTAAAAATTCAATTTGCTTACATTCATATGTGGTTCCCCATTATTTTGTTACTTGGTTTAATGTAATATATTGTGTCCTTTCTTTGGTTACTCCTTTTCTTCCCCAATGCCTTAATAATGATCATCTGCTGTTATTTCATGATCTGATTATTCTTACTATGCCGACACTGCTAATTTATGTGTGCCACTCGGTTCTCTTGATCACATAACTTTGTGGTTCCCAATTTGATAGATGGCATTGAGGGTACTGGAAGAGCATAGGCTGTGCATCAAACTCTCTAGAGTAGTATTCTACTTCATCTGTCTCCCACAACGGTGACAGAGCAGAGAAACCTTGATTCCTTTGATTAAAATTGGATGCACTATGTCTACCTTTCTCCTTCACAAGCTGATTAGGAATGTTGCATAACAACACCGGGTACACAAATGTGTGCCCCATACTAATATTTCAGCAAATCTGTCTTCTTTCCTCTTCTCCTAGTATCCATGCTTCTCGGGGTGCATTTTTTTCATATTAGGTCAAATCCCATCTATTTTGCACCTCAAACTTTACTAGTTTCTTTTGAGAATGCCTGCCATCTGCTCCTTTGACCTTTGACTATATTATCTCCTGTTACTAGAAAGGCTTCTATTCCACTTTTTTACTGCTTAAAAAATATAACATTTCTCTGAAAACCATTATGATGCCAGTGGTCTTTAGCACAGACTTTCTTAACTGAACTGAAATACCAAAATTCAATTCTCTCTCTGTTGAACTTCTTTAAGAGTTGCTATTTCTATATCTCACCTAGAACTTATTACGTGTTATCTTGTATTATTTATTTCATCTTTATGTTCCTCTTGTTACCTTAATGAGATCAAATGGACATTGAATCATAAGTCCTCTGTGACTTCTGCAACTGGATATTGATTTGCCTATTGTTGCCATAAAATAAATGTTGATTTCTCGATTAACTTTCTGCCATCTGGAAAATGGGACTACTTGTGTCTGGCTGCCCTTTCAATGATGAACGCTGAGGTGAGCAGTGTGACTCAGTGAGAAAAATGAGTCTTTTATTCAGAAGACTTACCACATCAGCTCTTGTCCATAGCACTTGTGTGAATTTGAAACACTCTTCCTCTGTAGATGCACAGTTATTATTCCTGAAATAAAGTTTATATTACAATTCCTTTGATAAATGTTGAATATGATGGCATATTCAGTGCACTTAGCAAAGTTATGTGCATATAGACAACTCGAAAATGATTGAAAATAAACGAAAGCCTGTGAAAGTTTTTTTACATGTACTCTAGAAAATTTAAATGATTATCACCACTTCTGCAACACAGCATTTGTTCTTTTTATTTGTAATTAAATCTATGTATGTGTGGGTGCATGTGTACATGGATGCAGGTGTCCTTGGAGTTTAGGAATGTCAGATTCTCCTGGAGTTGGCATCGCAGGAAGTTTTGGGGGTGCTGGGAAGTAAACTCAGGTCCTCTTTGAGAACAGTGTGCACTCTTTACTGCCTAACCAGCTCTTTATCTAAAAGTCTTAACCTGAATGCACATTATGTTACTTGAAATAGAAAGTTCAGGTAAATAATCTGTGTCATATTCCAGAAATTAATCAGGGAAATAATTAATATTCACTTCAATAATAATCTACTGAAATGAACATCTTCATTGATAGCTAATCAGACAGCTAATCATAAGTGTTATTTTAATCCATTTTAACTTAAATCTACATAACAATAAGTGAAATTATTCACCTGCCTTTGCTACTAGACCTCACCCAGAGAAGTTCCTTAGACACTCTGAGACTTGGTATTTCCTTTGGGAAAGTGAGAACAGTGATATTTAATTCTGAGAGAAGGATGGTATATTGAGATTAAGATACATGGCACAGGTTATGCAATATATTGAATTATACATTTTTAAGGTTTTAATAATTAAGTTAGGTCCTTTTTAAAATTTAAGTCATGTCATACCATTTGCCTGTTCAGGACCCCGAAATCACACCCTGTTCATCCTGCATTGGACATCTGTGCATTCCTGAGGGATTTGCCTTCCATTCATTCTTTGACATCGTCTCATGTAGCTCTCTGTTTGCATATACTTCTTCAGTTACATCTTCCTGTTATGTGAACACATTAGGACACTCCATGTTTTCTTTTCTTTTTTTTTTTTTAAATCTGGCTGAGAAGTCTTTCAAATGGTTAGCTCACTAAAAGACTGACATTTGTGTTTAGACCAATTTTATGGGGTCATTGGCAGAATGAGTGTGTATACAAGCCTCATATATTTATGACAGTTAACATTCACAGAGCTCAGCAGTGATAACGATTAGAAATGACAAGCCTTGATATTTAAATTATGGATGCGGTCTGCGAAATTTAGATTGAGTACCATGCGTAACTACAGTTTTGAAAAGTTGTTTTGAAGAGCTTGTCTAGAAAATATTTTCCTAGTGTTCTTCTTTTATGATCTGAAATCATAAGAAGTTTAATGCCTATAGTCATGAAAGACATGAGGCCAGGTCATTGGTGTGTGATCTGAAGGACAGTTTCTAAGTTAAGTCTTATCCATAGACTGCGGCAAGATGCATGATCACTTGTTTCTATGAATTGTATTACTTCAGATTTTATAAAAAATAAAACATAGACTATTCAGGTGGCAAAAATGTACAGAAAAAATCAATGTCTCTCAGAATGGATATAATCAATAATGACTGAGATAAGCTTTTTCTACGGGTCTTGAAGTCTGTTGCCCTAAGATGCTAATTAAATAATTTTTGGTATATAACTCAACCTTTATTCAGAGTTTTTTTTTTTATTTTTAAAATGGAGGTAAAATAAATGACATATTTTCCCCCCTTCGGTTTTTTCGAGACAGAGTTTCTCTGTGTAGCTTTGCGCCTTTCCTGGAACTTGCTCTGTAGACCAGGCTGGCCTTGAACTCACAGAGATTCACCTGCCTCTGCCTCCCAAGTGCTGGGATTAAAGGTGTGCACCACCACCACCTGGCTGACATATTTGTTTATAAGGGGTTTATGCTATTGTGTACATCTGAGTCTTTTGTACAGTGTTGAGTAAACAGAAGATGAAATATTTGTAGATATTATCATAGTTACTGGTTGGACTACACATGCAGCATAGA